GGCCTACTCCGAAGCGTAGCTGAAGTTACATCCTGACACACCTGACCCCATTGCGGCGCCTCTGGACGACATGGCGATGGTGAGGATGGGGTCCAAGGAGCACGGTCGGGAGGCGGTTCTCGATGCTGTGATCACTCCTAGTATCTCCTACACACAACTTCGTCGGATCGACCCGAGCCTGAGCCAGCGCACGAGCCAGCCAGTGACTAGTACACAGTCCCTCTTTCAGGAGCAACAATCTGTAAGTATTTTCCCTCTTATCTTCATTGCTCACTTCATTTTCCACATTTAGTAGTTTTATGAGTTCCATCATGTCATACCGTAGGCCTACATGGAGTACACACGCCAGGAGACCATGGCGTGGCATCAGAGGCTTTATGAACACCAAGTGCAGAGGGATAGCCAGATGCAGCAGGCTTTTCAGGATATGGCGGACGGCAGGTGTCCTCAGTTCCCTCCAGCACAATGCCCTCCAGCACAACCAGTGCTGATGAGCTTTGAGGAGTTTGTGGCACAGAATGCTGGCCCCTCGCCGGTTAGTTCATCCCCAATCTATTCACCCAAAGCATGTCATGCCTTTCAACACAGTCATATATCCCGTGCATATGTCTTTTCAACATCCAGGGAACAGGTGGATCTACCATTGGCGGTGGTCTTCGCAGCACTCCGGAGACACGGAGCCCGACCACTCCGATCCACGGAGGCGGAGGAGGAGGTGGAGGTGGAGGCGGAGGCGGTCTTGGCGGTAGCGCTGCCGCTAGCAGTGACGACCTGGGCTTTGGCCGTCTTGGCGGTGACGGCCTCCGCGGTGCTCGATGATCCTTGTGTGGTGATGATGCTTGAGATGACTTGTGTGTGGTGATGATCATTTAGATGACTTGTGTGCTTCTCTATATGCTTATGCTTATGTTGGTTGTGATGATGTTCATTTAGAGACTTGTGTGTGATGATGCTTATGCATATATTGTTGTGATGGTGCCAGATAATATCCCGTTGTGTTTTATATGTCTATCCCATCATATATATCTGCTGATATGTGCTGCTATTTGAATTGAATTGATCTGAAAACAAACAGAAAAAAAAAAAGCAAAAGCAAACTAGGCCGTCGGCATAGGGCTAGCGTGAGCTCCCAGTTGCTGACACGTGGCACATATGCCGACGGCCTAGCCGTCGGCTTAGTTTAAAAACTGTGCCGACGACTAGGCCGTCGGCATAGGCGCCCACATGTCAGCTACTGGGAGCTCTGTATGAAGGACTATGCCGACAGCCTGGCCGTCGGCTTAGTTTCAAATTATGCCGACGGCCAGGCCGTCGGCATAGCCCTGGTCCTAGAGCAGCGGCTGGTCGCCACGTGGCACACCTACGCCGACGGTCGAGCCGTCGGCATAGTTTTTGACTAAGCCGACGGCTAGGCCGTCGGCATAGTGGTGCCACGTGGCGACCATTCGTTGGGCAGACTTGACGGCGGCCGCCGTTAGGCGTGATAGTTGCCGACGGCCAGGGCCGTCGGCATAGATGTACGGCCCCCGTCGGCGTATCGTATATGCCGACGGCTTTTCTATGTCGACGGCCTCCCTGGCTGTGCCGACGCATATGTTGCCGACGGCCCTATGCCGACGGGGGCCATCGGCATAGGCCTATCCCGACGGGACTCAGGCCTATGCCGACGGCCCTGGCCGTCGGCATAGGGGGCGATTCCGGTAGTGTGTGTTTATGTGAGATGAGAGGAAGAAGAAGAGCGGCGCTGCGCGGAGGCGGCAACAACATATTATACTTATTGTTCATGAGGATCAACTCCCATGTCCAGAGTTGGTATGTGTTTTTCACTCCAACATACAACATATCTATAATGATATAATGCTTCTGGAGAACCAGCTCCCTTGGCTGGTTGTGGAAACCCTACTCAACTTTAGGTCCGCGTCGGTGTCCGTGTTAGTGAAGAGGACAGTTTCAAGGGTAGGAGATTCTCTCACAAACCGTGGGTATCATACTGGACCAGAAGAAATCATTTCAGACTTGGATCAAGAGTACCGCAGGCCACCTCATCTCCTTGGTCTCCTCCAATTCTACAAAACAAACAATAACACGGCCATCGGAGTCAGCAAGAAGAGCAAAATAGCCAGCAAGATAGCTCGCATTAATCAGGCATTTTCAATGTTGTGTCGTTCGAAAGCCCGAACGACTTCTGAGACTAGCCTTGGACATATAGAAAGACATATACCGTCGGCCAAGAAAAAAGCAATGTCAACATCTACAAGTGCCATTGAGCTTGCAGAAATTGGCATCAAGCTGAAAGCAATCGACACAGGAAGGTTCTCAGAAATCGGCATCAGGAAAGGACCCCTTTTTGGTGAGCTTTTTCTGACGCCACTGGTGCTAAGCAGTGCAAGTGCATCTTGGCTTGTTAACATGGCCTCAGGGGATCAACGTGATGTTCAAGAGATGGCCGTCTGCTCGTACATCGCCCTCCTTTCGATGCTCATGGACCGGGAGGAGGATGTGCATGAGCTACGAACGAAGCATATTGTGCAAGGAGAACTCACAAACAAAGAGATGCTCGAGTTCTTCAAGAGCCTTACCAAGCACTTGTCTGTCGGCAACTCCTACACCCGCATCTTGACACACATTGAAAACTACAAAGTCAACAGGTGGATGCGGATCAAGGTGCACAAGTTCGTCTACAACAACTTCAAAGTCATTTTCACGGTCTTCACCGTTGTTGGTGTTCTAGTTGGCATCTTCAAGACGCTCCTCTCTCTCAAGCAACAACAATAAAGGTAGACCATGCTTACCATACTTCCATAACATACTCTGTTTTGTGCTTAATTACTAAGGTGTGATGTTAGGTTTGTGCTTTGAGAGTGATGCATGGTGTGATGTTGTATGTTCTGCATTTGTCAGATTCTTGGCCTAATATCCTGTATCTGAAATTCTGAGTTACAAGATCACCTCATTTGTGAGCTATGGTTTGAAAACTAAGCTTGAATTTGTGTTCAGATGGATATGGTCTCGATTCTGAAGGAACCAGACCTGACGGTTCGGTCCACAGCGGGTTTTCACCTGCCGTGGGCTACTATGTGAAATCAGTTGTTAAGTACATTCACATGGTGAACTGCTGATGTGATTGATATTCAGGATCAATAAGCCTCACTACACATTGCGTCTTTTCCTTTTTCATGGTATAGGAATATGCAAGAGAGCCTAATGAATTCGCTCTGATTATAAAACGCGGGTAGGAAAAAACAACGGACGCTCGATGAACTCATGGTAAAGAAGAGATTTCATAGTCTTCACTGAATTCAACAGTAGAAAGGAATTAAGTAGCAGAAATGACACCAACAAACACGCATATATAGTTACAAAAAAGACAGAGCAACTGGAAATAGAGACGGATTGGTACCATTGCAAGTCAGACGAGTTCTTCCCCAGTGGCATCGACCGGCGGCATTGTTCTCCATATTGATGGACCAACAGCTTGCTCTTGTTCAGTGGAAATTCCAATGACCATTGAGCTTGAACTTGCAATGATGATGATGATGATCCGCACTCTGCAGTTTGACGGCCAACGTCACACCATGCCCATGTAATACAGTTTGAGGCATGATGTACCCCACCTACCCCTGTGGCATTCAGGTTTGCATTTTTTTTTCAGTGACCATCAGGGTCAGATTCCATTACCACTGAGATAATAATGGAATAGTAAAAGAAGTGCTGGCATCCAGAGTTCCGATGCCGCCTAATGAAAACTTCAGACTTCACAGGGAACACCGAGCGCTACGGGCAACCCGGTCGGCCCGGGATCCCCAAAACAAGTTTCAGTTTCACCAACAAAAAGTGTGAAGCAAAGGACCATCAACATCACTCTTCAGCAGCTTCCACAGTCGCTTTGCCATCGGTGATACGGAGCACGACATGTCCAGCTTCTCTCGCCCCATCAGCATGATGACAAAGAGGCTCTCTTCGAAGCATAGCCGCCCCAGCTTCCAGCATCTCCCTCTGTAGCATGCAGGTACCCTCTGCATCTAGCAGCACAGATGAGGGACAAAAGCCATCATCTTCTTCCGGTTTATTACACTGCAATATACAGTCACTACAAGTGACACAAACAAGCAAATGCAAGACTTGTGGACGAATTTGCCCCAAAACATTTAGCAGCTGCTTGAAAAGGACCGGTACATAACCGAGTGTCGCATCAAAGAATGACAGGGCAACGGACAACTTCCATTGACACACCAAACATTGGATAAACCAGTGCTACACATGATACGTTCTTTTTTCAGAAACAAAACAATACTACACATGCAAACGCAACCATAAGGATGCTCTTTAAGTAGCAGACAGTAAAAAAGGAAGTCACATACTGATCTCCTGGATCTACACTGGGTTGAAATTGTTATTGATGCCTACAGTTCCTTGTTTATTAGAGCACATGTAGTTTACGTCAGGAGAATATTGTTAATCAGACAAATTTGATTCACCAATTATTAATTAGAAACCGCAGGTTGCTCTTTTGACAAAACGAGCATGAACGAAACCCCCATCTTTCACATGGCTGGTGTGGTGAGACAAAAAATAGCAGGAACTGAAGAAAGTAACCTATGACAGGAACTTCAGTTCTCTTCCTTGTAAATTAGAGATCGGAATCAGTAAGAAGAATGATGCTTTCGTAGTATCCACGGTACAGGCTACAGAGAAAGAAGAAGGCCCCAAAAGCGTTACAGAAGAAGAACACCCAGAAACTCATTGTGCAAGTGTTACATGAGGTACAAAACTGAAAACTCTGGCAGAAAGCATCCATGTTACAGGCTCACAGCAAACATGTGCGGTCTCTATTGAATTCAGCAACAGAAAGGGAATTAAGTAGTAGAAATGGCACCAATAAGCACACATAGCACCGGTAATCAACAGGAAAAAAAAGAGAGTATTGGCACACATATAAAAGCAAACAGAGCAAATGAAAACATAGACGGATTGGCATCCAGAAACATCATACTAATGAGTTATACGATTTCTTCCCCGGTGGCATCGCTGCCCTGGTAACCAGAGGATTGATCTTCAGCATATTCTTTGTAGGTTCCGCTTGATCTTGATGGACCAGCAGCTCCCTCTTGATTAGTGGCAGCCCCGCTGACGCGAGAAGTTGAAGGATCGTCCCCATGCACTCCTCCGTTGTGATAATGATGATCCGCCCTCTGCAGTTTGGCTGCCAAAGTCTCCATCCCCATGTAGTACAATAGGAGCCAAACATAGGTGAGGTATTCCACACCAGTGGCCAAACCCTTGGCGTGGAGGTATCCTCTGCATCTAGCGGCGGAGAAGCACAACATCTCCACCCAAACGCCTTCGATCACATCCCACATCTTCTCTTCAGGCAGATTGGACAACACTTTGGCAATATTCCAAGCGTCACGGATAATGCCCCCCTGCTGCTGCTGGGTACCATCTGGAGGTGGAGATCCTCCACCATCCACCGCAGCAATTATCATCTGTGTAAGCTCTGCTTCCTTATGAGTTTGCTTGTCTCCCTGGATAATGATGCCCTTCAGTTCGTCGTAGGCGGTCGTGAAAAGGTTCCTTCTGGTGCCTGCCATTAGCATTTCAGGATTCACAAACAGTAGGTACATCATGTAGTTGGACATTTCTCTGCACTGGATGGCCCTCTTGTGATGACCAGATCCTTCACACCAAGCATGAGGACATGAATCTTGCGTGCACAGCCGTCTGTGATGAGAGTGAGATACACCTGTGTGGTAGTAACAGAAATCTGTGGCGAGATGCCAGAGAAGAACACTCTCGTCAAATGCGCCCTCTAAGCTCCAGCCCAGTTCCTGGTAGCACCCTTCATGCCCAAGAGTAAACTGGCCCCGGTTATCATTGAACTTCCTGTAACTGGAAACATCTCTTATGTGATGCCCCCACCCTCCTTTCACATACTTGAGCACTAACTTTGTAATGCTGAAGGATGAGGAGCAAGACTTCATGCGCCAACGTTGCTGAAGGAAGTCGGAGCATCCCAATACTTCCATGACCCACATCATCCTGGAATTCCTCCTGTTGCGGGCAAGGAGACCTATAAGGTTGTATTGGGAAACCATATGCTTGACTTGTGTTTGCTTCGGATCTCTTGTGGCCCTTCCCATGTTATTTTGGCCCATGGCAAAACCCTCCAGGGCAGCAGTACAACAGAGCAATGCATATGTAACCTTGACATCATCTTCACTATAAACTTTTCTATGACTATGGTGAAAGAGGGCTATGGCTGCGAATGGGAGGTACAAAGCAAATACACGAACAAAACTACCAAAGCAGCTTACTATGCTGGCATGGGCATGGGTACCGTTATTGGTGCAGCCTGTAAAGCCAATCTCGATGGTGGGGAACATCTTTTCTTTGGTGTAGAGGAGCTGAAATGTCTCAGAGAGCCAATACCGCAGCTTATGATACACGTGGTAGTCATCAAGTCCTGAGAAGGACCGTAGCATCCTGATCCGGTCATCCAGAGAAGGAGATGCAAGGTCCACAAATAACTTGTAAGGAGTAAAATCCACCAGCGTGGCTGGTGCAAAAAGGTAACCATTGGCCCCTGCAGGACTGGCTGCCTTGTCAATGAAACCTTGAAGTGGATCAATCTTGAGCTTATGTGTGTCAATCGACCTCAGGATAGGCTCACCAGAGCTCACCAGGCTGTTAATGCTAGCTCTGTTGAGAGCCAAGGGCTTCTCAAAGCATTTGAGGATACCGGGGATGAAGAGCAATACTGCAGCAACTAGCAAATTCCTGTCATCGCTGCCTGGCCACGATTTGCAGAAGACGTAGACAGCCACAGTGACCTGAGACACTGCGGTGAGGATGTGCCGCGGCCATAACTCGTTGTCTTCGATGTTGTAGGCGGTTATTCCATCCTGTCCACCGAGGTGTATCAGGAGGATAGGCGCCCACAACACCTCCAGGACACCATGTCCATCCTGCTTCTTCTGGCGGTTGAAGAGGGCGGCGAGCGCATAGATCGCAATGGCATCGCTGCCAAGGTATGCAAGCCAGATGACAGGTCTAAACCAGGATCTGATAGGGTACTTACGTAAGTAGGAAGCAACCAGAAGGATGTACTGAATCGCCAGGCTACCAAGGACGAGGATACGCAGCTGCCACTCCTCCCACCATTGCACAGCACCTGAGACACCCATTACAATTACCCCATAGGATAGATAGGTGAAAAGCATATCCTCGTCCAGCTCGGGCACGCACATGCATGCAGCCCTGTCTTTTCTTCTTTCTATTTTTTTACTCGCCCTGTACACAATATTTTTCTCGTTCACTTTCCTTCTGGTGGAAGCAAGGCATCACTGGTTCATTGTGCATGTATGCTTACTGTTTTTTACTTTTCCCTTTTTTTGTCTACCGGTGAACATTACCACTCCAGCAATCATTCTCTTATACTCTGTTTTCCTTTCCTTCTTTTTTTCATGGTACCACACGCCACCGACTAATGAGTTCAGAAGCACCAGACGGACTAATAAGTTTTGAACAACAACCGGCCAGTTGCTGCCAGGAGGATATGAAGTCGCAACGAAATGCCATATACTTGTATGGACATGGGAATATATAAGGATTGGGTGCCTATATAGTGTTCAAACAGTTATTTGCTACAATATTGTACCTTGTTTAATTGAATTGTCAAGTCAGTCAATCAAGCATCTTACAGATTAAAAAAAAATCAAGCATCTTAACCTTGCCAGAAGACTGCTTTTTCTTCCAGCACATTTGTTGCAACCGAAAATTAATTAACATGGTTTGGTTTTTTTCCATAAATCAGAATTCCACAAAAAAAAAGCAATCTCCAACTTTTCACATAGCTGGTGGGAGACCCCAAATAGAACAGAATTCATGTAACACATGATGCGAACTGAGTTTCAGCATATAATCGCATATTCTTCATGACAAATGACCAATTAACAAAACTGCCTGGGAAATACAAATATTAATTACTGCAATTCGTATTTTTGAACACATGAAAGTTCTGGAGACTATTTGAATTTGTATTACAATTCCTAGATTCTGAAGTTCACAAATTTCTGTGATATTTGCCCTTATTATTTACGACAATAACCATGATGATAGGGTAGAGGAAATTAGTCAAATTACTGCTGAAGCCTGAAGCTGAGCAGAAACTTACTGGAGATGGCCCATGGAACATTGAAACTAATAATGAACTTATGCTACCCCAGTCCATACGGAAGTAAGAAATTCAGCTCAACTGCAGAATAAGCCTTCAGATATGTAAGAGATTCTGGATAGGGGAGGTGGGCTTCGACTTCAAGATATAAACCACTATAAGTTACATATAGGTCTTCAGCAAGGCAGAAAGGGCAGGGAGAAGTAAGGATCCTACTACCTGATTGTC